GTTAGGAAACAAAACTTCCAGAACACGGCCACACAGCCCGGAAGACCCACACCAGCCTTCCAATTCATTCATCTCCACCTCCAACAGAGCTGTAGCTCCATCTCCCCGATGGAGAGGCCCTTCCTTTTTTCTCCCTATGCCTCATCTTTCTCTTTCCTCCGACCTCAGCATGGCAAGCCAGTCGGGCTTCTTCCAGCCCCGTCTGGTCCTTTGCCTCAGTCCACTTTCTCACTGCAAAGTAGCTGGCGTTCGAGATGCTCCAAGGAGTCATGCATTTCCCACCGTGCCCCGCCACTCTGACATAGCACAACCTGGGGCCATTGGTGGGAGATGACAACGGATGCCGTCCAACCTAGCAGCTGCATTCACAGGACATCCTGGCCCTAGGAAGTCAGAGCCTGGAGCGTGATTTTAAAACAGGTCGGGAAGGTGTCAGATCTAGCGATGCTTTCCAAACTCTCCTCAGTCCATCTTTTGTCTAAATTTTGCAGATATTAGGAATTCTGCATTGTTCCCATTCTTAGGGCTACTATATCTAGGCTGCAAAACTCAAGTAACTCACTAAATCAGTGTTTCTCAACCTTAGCAACTTTAAGGCATGGGGACTTCAACTCCCAGAATTCCCCAGCCAGCATAGAATTCTGGGAGTTGAAGTCCCCACGTTTTAAAGTTGCTGAGGTTGAGAAACACTGCACTAGATGGCAGGAAGGCATCTGGGGTTTCTCTTTGTTGCCAACTGATGCCCATAAAGATTTATGCAACCCACATAATTGGTAGCCCTGCTAGTTCTTTGCCCTCCCCCCATAAGCACAAGTCCCTCTCTCAACAAAGTCCCATTGATCTAAATTTACTTTTCATTCAAACACAAATTAACTGACTAAAACTCCCCAAGTATGTAATAATTTCCCTTTTGGTTAGGTAAAAAAATTACCATTTGGTGGCCACAAATCAGCCCCCCACCAAGGTTTCTCTGGGGCTGGATGTAGCTTTAAAAGGGCAAGCTTTATTCCCAGAATAAAGTAAGGGAAGGAAGGAAATGTTGTCATCCTGAACCAGAAATGGGGAACTTTGAATCCCAGAGCATCTGCAGAGGGGATCAAAAAAGTCAAGTTGGTAGCTGTGATAAAGCCCCACCCTTTTTACATGGAATAAAACAGGGCGGGGCCTCAAAGAGCATAAATGTGGCCACCCTCTTGACTTTTTTGACCTTGTGACACTGCTGCGCCTGATCTCGGAATCCAACGCGAATCTCTTGAGCCAAAACATCTCGATTTTCTGTGTCACACCCCACTTTCCCCAGCATCAGCCCTTTGAGGTGGACTAGGTGAGGCGTCGGACACCAGAAGAAATGCTAAAATTCAACTTTGTTGTTATGGGGTATAATAACAGAAAATCTTGATTCGCTTTCCCTCCTCTTATACCCAAGCAAGCTGGTGGGGCAACCTTGAGTTTCTTCTTGCCTCTTCATGTCTTTCCAGGCTCAGCAGATGTTTCATAAGGGCTGTTGCATATTTGCTCCCAGGCTGTTTCCAGACTCTTCTACGCCCAGCCATCCTGGATACATTTTCTCCTGTTCGTTTTTTGGCACGATTACACCTATAACTCCACCCATGTTTGCATCTGGCTTTGCCCAGGGGCATTCCCAGGGAGGGTCAAAAAAGTCAAGATGGCAGCCCAGACTGCATGAAAGAAGCCCCGCCCCTTTTTTACATGCATCACAGAGCTTCAACCATGAAGCAGCAGCTGCCATCTTGACTTTTTTGACCCTCCCTGTGGACGCCCCTTGGTGATGTTGCTGCATGTGTTAATCAGAAGCTTGCAACCTCGTTTGCCACAATGGCCTTCTCTACAAACAAGGATCGAAAACTCCCTTGGTGGGCTCTGGGTGTCCTAAGGCCACAGTGGTGAAACCGTGGCCTTCCAGATCCGTGAGCATTACAACTCCCATCATCCCTGGCCACTAGATTGGATAAAACTCAGTCAACGGGGTGTTTTGTGAGCGGGGCAAGGCCGTAGGAGAATTGGCTGCCCAGTTTACTTTAATTCAAAACCCAGTGTCCTTTGTCACATAATCAAGGCAAAATGTGTTGCAGGAAAGTCTGGGACACCTGAGGGGGGAAAGTGAAGACAGCAGCTTTGATCGAGGGTGCCATCTTGACTTTTTTGACTCCCCCCCCACAGATGTCTCTGAGCAAAGTGACGAGGAGGGCAACATTCCCATTCAAACCTCATCCCAGATTCACCAGGTGGCCTTAGAAAAGCCATCTTCTCTCAGCCTCAACTTCAGAACAGGGTTAATTCTGATCCTGGCCTACCTTACAGGACAGTTGTAAGGCTAAGACTTCAAACCCTCAAAAAGTGCTGCGCTGGTACTAAATATTATCATTTTTCTTATCGGTAGCCTCCATGATGCCATCTTGGTGCTCATTCAGAGGAAAAGAGGAAAGTTTAGGGACGGGGTGGGGCGGGGCGGGGGGTCAGGGTGGATCGCAGGTTGATTTCATTTTCTCTCTTTTTTAAATGGCTCTTAATGTTTCGATTTTTTGGACCTCTTTGGCTGGGACACACTTGCTGCGGGGAAGGGATTTCTGTGTTGACGCAGGGATGGAACAAGACGCTGCGGAAAAAACGACATTTAACACCTTGCCGTGGCTTCCCTGCAGCTTTTGCAGAGCGATAAGAGCAGAAAACAAACCTTGATATCGATGCACAAAACGGGAAGGGGCTTTAGGGGTCATCTAATCCAGGGTTCCTCAACCGTGCCAACCTTGAGACCGGTGGGACTTAAACCCCCGAAATTTCCCCCCCCAACCGGGCGCCGGGGGGAGTTGGGTGGTTTATGTGTCGCCTTGCTCTCG